GTTATTATTTCGATTTTTAGACCATTAGAGGGCGTTTTTTCAGTTTTTGTAATTTCACCACTAGTTTTGCAGCTTAAAGTTTATTTCATTTAATTTTGAGTATCCGAGACTCAGGGCCCTCCCTTAAGCTAAACTTTGTCATTAAGTTCCCACTCGGTTTCCAAGGTATGGTCCTATTAAGATCAAATCTGTTAGTTTGTTTCTTTCTTTGTTTTGACTGTCTTATATATTTGTGTTTTTTTTCGTACGTCGAAATGGTCGTGTACAAACCTTGCGGAAGTAGACTAGTTTGGAGCTTAAGCTAATCCAATTATCTCCGATAATTTAAATCACTGCTTTATCTGTGGTACATTCTGTGTAAATCAACCTTTAAATGGTGGTTGGTATTCCTAACTCCAAAAGATTTATCTCGGCCTTTTTTCAGTCCCGACTTAACCTTTCACTCATAAAAGTGACCAAAGTCAAAATTCAACATGAAAATTCCCAAATTTCAATATGTTAAATGCTACAAAACATACATATGAACGTACGTAACTGCTAAGGTTTCATTTAAATGGTCACACTACTGGATTTTGTCCACAAACTTAAAGTTGGAACCACCTTAGTGAAACTCTATCATTTTCTCGGGGAGTCGGAAAGGGTCAAATTTGAGCCGCCTTGTGTGGTGATAACTCTCCACTTCGCAGCTTAACCTCGTCTGAGAGGAGAGAAGAAAACCTTTCTTAGATATAGACCGGAGAAAAAAGAGGCAAAGGTTACCGGAAAAACATCAGCAGGAGGAAAGGCTAATCTTAACGAGCACTTTAGTGTTCCAAGCTGTTGAAAGTCTAGAAAAGGCATATTGTCAACGACTGAAAGGTGATGCAGGCTTACATTCCATCGGAGAAAATAACTCACAGACGTAGTTTACTTGTTTTCTGCGACGTTCAAAAAAGAAACAAACAAATGGCGGGAAAAGATGAAAAATTTTTCGATGAATCGACGGGCCAGAATCATGCTTGAATGCTGTTAAGGTATGGGCATAATTGACAAAGAACCGCACGGTAGTTTTACTTTTCAAGACTCTTTCACCTTCTTAACCCTTCTACTTGCCCATTTTCAAAGTTCAGGAAACTTTATCCATTTCATTTAGTGAAATACTGAAAAACAAAAAGTACAATAACGCAGTACTTCAAGAGATTTCATTTGATTAGTCACTCGGTTTTGTCCACAAACGGTAAAGTTAGAATTACAAATCTTGACTTTCTGAGTGATTTTCAAACTAGAGTGAAAAGGTTAATGCGACAGTACTAAGCAGGTTCTGAAATTTTCACGAGCGTAAGTTTTCCGTCCTCAATCATACTAAACTCCTAAATTTCTATCTGGCTTTTCGTTGTTAATTCAGTAACATAAAAGACAAAAACAAAACAAGACAAATCAAAAGACAGGAGTCAGGTTATAAAACAAACATACAAAAAGAAAGCAGTAAAGAGACTTCAAGCAACTGTGTGATACTTTTCATTAGATGATCACTTCCTAGTTACTAGCCCGCGAATACAGCGCCATCAGGCTACCAAATTACGATTTCATGCCCAATATCACGATAGCACTCTTTTCATTGCAGGAACTAAGAACAAAAGCAATGCTTCCCCTCTTCGCATTTCGGCAACACGTTTTTTAACCATGTATTTAGAGTCTCAGATTTGATTAGCCGGGTGAGTTTATTGCCTCCGCGTGAATCATCCAAAACGAACTGCCAAGGTTAAAAGCATTAATGTATTCAAAACGGAGAAAAATTAATTATTAGATCAAACCTGACGTACGCCATCACTGCTGAGCAAGAAATGAGCTGAGACCGCAAATCGGACCGTGAAATTAATCTCAAATGAATTTCATTGCGTTAAATTTACCTTGACCTGACGAAAATGAAATAAAACCAAAAGTGATCACTTTAATTTAATGCTCGCTAGCTGTAACTGCCACAGTTAACATGGTTTTCTGTTAACTTGCTATCCACTGCATACATATGTGAACACCCTAGTGTAGAAAGCCGGATCTGCCTTGTCAAGGCTAAAACTAAGAGCTTTCTTTATCTCTGTTTTCTCATCTTTTTTGCTTCCTTCCCGGTTTTTGCCAGGTTAAAAGCCAAATGGAGATATCTTGATCAATTACTCAGCATTTCGTTGATCGGTTTTTGATGAGGACATATTTTTATAACGCCTTTCCTGCTGTTTATTAGTAATATCACACATGCTCGGCTTCCACATCCGCTGGAGAATTGCCCAAAGAAGAGACTGAAAACGAGGTTGTCAGACAATGACAAACCTGCTAATTAAAGAGCACTGCAAATTTCGCTAAAAGATCAGGTGTATCGAGATCAACTTAACTGAAGAGATGCTTTCAAGAGTTAGTTGCATGTAAGCGGCAAAGTCCACCATCTAGATGAGTCAACAAGCTGAGCTTAAGCTGTGCGTTACTCAATAAAACCGGCGCAGCAAATGAAAATGAAATGTAGAAATTGGTGATTTTGAAAGATAAAGGTTTTCTTAGCCGGCTAACGACTTGTCTTAAGTTCCAGGTGCTTCTTTTTCGATACCGTTGTACAGTTTTGATTTCATTTTGTGGCAAGGTAGTCAACGGCACAACAAGCTAAATTTGGTTCAGTCATTTGTGCAAGACCAGCTTCCCTTTTGTAATACAAGAAATGAAAACCCCTAAACAAACATGCAACATACGACCAGTCTGATGCTCTTAATGATAAAAAAGTATGTTAACAAAAGAAAATATGTCAATTGAGAATATTCCCAGAGTCTATGTTGTTGCAAGAGATTATCCTTCTAATTCGTCGGTTGTATTTTTTCGAAATAACTGAATATACATTATAGAAAAAGTAAACGCGGTTTATAAAACAAGCCAGTCGTGGAACGTGATAAAACCCATATTGCCCGAGGCATCACCAAAGCACTTAGTAACTATATTGTAAGCAATTATTCCGATTCGCTTACTAGAAGACATACACTTAGTAGGAAATATGTATTATGTAAATACAACAATAGCTACATCGACTTCACACTAAAACTGGCTAAAATTAGCCAAATTTAACCATTCTTTTTACCTGCATTTCCATGAAAACAACCCAAAATAAGCGGCTTTAGAAACTGGCAGTTTCGGCTGGGCATTTTCCACACGAGAAAAATGACTTTTACGATCTATTCAATCGAGCGTCAGTACACAAGTCCAACTTGGAGGACATTTTCGACAAACTAAAATGAATGTGGTCTGTTGACAATGACGTATCTTGTTATCTGTCAGTAAGTGCGGATTCCAAATGTTTTTGCATTAGCACGCGATGTGAAGCATACTAACACACGTTGTGATTGGTTGCTTAACTAGCCAACGGCAGATAAGATAAGATCGGCTGCCTCAGCTCTAATCCCCTGTGATGATAAATATTATTGAATATCAAACTCTGTCATAATAGAGAACCTATTTATCGGGACATGCAAGGACCTTTTTATCTTTAGTGCCGGAGTAACCTTTTTTATCAGTCAAGCGTCTACCGTTTCCTCTGATAAACAAACAAAACAGATAGGACCTCGTCTACACCAACTTGAAAAGTGGATGAAAAATGTGGCTTAATTGCACTGCGCCAAAAGCTATAATTGATCGCTAACTTTTTCTCAGTGATCATAATTGGAGACAAATTCGGATTCAATCCGTAGAACTCAACAGTTACAGCCACCCAACACGGTACCGTTCCCGATTTAACGTATCTCTTGAGTTAAAACTGAGCAGCTAGTTAGGGAAATAAAAATTATACTCGCAAGATTATAATTCATTGACAAAGATTTCAAGGAGCCAACCATCCATGTGGAAGAATGAAATTGCTATCATAGTCTCATTTAGGAAACCAGATTAAATGTCCTCTTCACACTGACGCTGAAAGGAGAAACTCTTTTAGCATGGAGTGTCAAGGCTCGAGCCTTTAATCACGAAAGAATACGGCTCTTGGAGGTGTTTGTAAAGAGAGTCACTCATGAAAATTAACATGAAATGCTAGTTTTTCAAATTAATGCGATCACCCACAAACTCGGATGAGCAAGCACTGCGGTTAACCTTGGCATTTTTGCGAGACACGAGTGTTTACTGGAAAAAAAGATAAGTGTTTATGTTGAAACTCTGAATTTAAAAAATGTCAATCTTCAATTTGTAAAAGACTGAAAACGAAAATACTGTTCAAGCTCTGCGAAAGTCCCGGCCGAAGCCCACATGTCATATACTCTGACATATCGTAGAATTTTCCCCAAGTGTAGTGGTACATATCACCGTACTGATCTGACCCTTGGAGTAAACACTGAGTGGAATGTTAAACCCATAACCTCCCAAAAATGCGTAAAAGTTGGTTAAAAAAACAACAACAACAACCACAACAACGAAAAACGTTTTATGAAATATTTCATGGCAATCAGTTCATTGTAAAAGCTCTCCTGAAGAGGTTTCATTCGAAAGGTCACCGCCCAAAGTTTTTAATGCACAGACCGTCGCTCTGAAAAGTTACAATTCACGTTACTTCACATGTCTAAAAAAAATCCTGTGTTCCAGTTTACTGTTTAAGAACCCGGAAAAATCCTAGTTCAAAGTTACCACATCTTTTAATTTATGTCATATGTCATTTATGTCATTTATGTCAGTGCAGTGAGGTGGAATTATCGAATTTATTGGCTACTTATGAGTTATACAATGTCAAAAAGCCGCAAAGAAGGTTAAGGGTATTTGACACATGTTGAAGTTCAGTAACACGTGTCGTAAAAAGCTCTTTCCAAAAACCTTGTTTAACAATTACCTAAGGAGCCGAAGCCGAGATGTTTCATAGGTTAGGTAAGAATTGAGTTGATTAGAAAAACATTTCAGTACGAGGCGGTTTTATCGACTGAGCCGAGCCAAGCAACGAAACTGGATTGTTTTAATATAGTTTAAGTGGCTAATTACATATCAAATAAAAAAAAATCATTGCTAAAAGTAGGTAATTCTCTCAGGTCAAATCTCTGATAGACTCTAAAGTGGTCTTTGTTCGTAGAATTTATCAAGCCATTTGTGTATACGTTTGAATTGTTCTGAGTGATTATTCTTTTCAGTTCGAACACAAAATCTGATTCAAAAAGAGATTACGTTTACTAGGAGTCCTCAACAGAACAAACAAACACCAGTGGAAAAGGACGTCATCCCGGAATAAAACACATCTTCCTTCAGTCACTGAACTCTGTAGAGTAATAGCGCCTTCGAGTTCATTGTTTGAATAGCGCGGCTTGTGTGGCATCTTTCTCATTTCGTCTCGCTGGTTGCAAACATGACCGACGTAAAATAAGCAGCTCCCCCCTGAACTTTAATGACCACCCCCGCCCTACCTTATTCTCAATAAATATGACGCTATGGCGGTTTTTCAGTTCTATGACTGGATAATACACTACATGTAACTGAAACATTGTATTTCCAGACTACTTTCTCTTTTTTACGACTTTCCCTCCTCACGGCATTTTCTCTTACGCTTTTGTACCGTTTAAGGCACACCCATTATAATTGATATCCAGTAGATCACTGTCTCACAGTGTATTCTGTTCATCTTAGTATATAGAACCTTGTTATAGAACATTTTATATGCAGTTATTTTTCTCACGCTTCCCTTGCAGTGTTTTCAGCCAGTGGGAAGCCATTTGCTAACAAAGTAATGATGGTACTTGGATAATGTTGATTGTACCTGCAGCTTGGCTTTTCACGTCTGGGTTTTAATGACCTTTAATTTCCTACTCTAGACGACTTCTGGCAATTTCACGGTAAATGATGCCCTATTCTAGACTAAATAAAGCTGATTTCTAATCAGTCCCAGATTTACTGCTTGAGGACTAATCGATACTCTTCAAATTCACATCCGTTCCATGCGGTTTGTAAAAAGTATCCCCTCTCGTACTTCTCCTCTTGGAGTTAGAGTTCCATACAAAATGTTGGCTTGGTTTGTATTACTTCTTATAATACTTCATCATCAGTTCTCAAACCAGTCTACTACGTTCGGAAATGAGAGCTGGTCACTTAACTATTCGTCAAGATTAACGTTTTAAAATCTTTTATCCGAAGAAGAAAAGACACAGAACTCTCCTCATACAAGTTGACTGAAATACGAGGACTGCGGACGAAGCATAACTGTATTTCCCTCAGGGCAATTAGAGAGTCGCCAAAGCACGTACTTTAAGTACTCAGCGAGTCATACCTGTACTAGATATGCGAGATTCATTTGGCAATTGATAAATCTGGAGATAACTTTCGAGAGGAAAAGCGCCCATAGATGATCATAGATCGTTTTTATAATAATTTAGTTTTATTTCGACAACTTAATTAAAAAACCGTAGTAAAGTATGTTTGACATGTACTAATTGCTAGTTTATTTTAAATGCAAGAGATTTCAGTCAATTTAAGTCACCGTGAAAGGAAAAACATTTTCGGAATTTTTCAGGTTTAGTCGACTTGGCCTTCGAAACACTGCCTTGCAGTTGAAAATCGCATAGACGCCGCAAAGAAATGGATGAAATGGTTTTTAATACGTTTTGCTGAAAAGTTCAAAAAGCTGTTTGCTGTTGTGAAAAAGAAAACAACCGAGTTGTTGATTGGTTTACAGGCAAACTCTCTACTTATTACGTAACCCAACGCAAAAAGATAGCTGTATGATAACAAATGATTAATGACTTGGCTGAACAGGAAACAAGGACACTGTACCGTCAAAAGGCATACTTTTGGAGTATCAAAGCACGAGTCACGTAGACCGAGAGGATTTAAGCGCCCAGTTAAGAAAGTTTAGGGAGATTATTTCTACCCACTTTACAGGATTTGCAAGGCAAGGCATTCATCAGCTGTCATAATACAGAGGTGCGGTGTGGAAAAAGCGGTCTCTGCACAACCGCTTCGTGTCCTAACAACCAGAGAGAACGTGCAGAATAAAACGATCACTTACCCAATCGGCGCTTTGACTCTTCCTCCGTCTCAATTACTGGCGTAGGAACTGGCTGAAATGAAAAGAACGATTTGAGATCGTAATCATATGCATTGACCCAAGAGTCACTCACTGATCTACGCCGGAGTGAAATGCATGAGTGAGTAGGTAAGAGCATTCCCAGCCAACGCACTTAACAAAATTGGCGCCAGATTTGCATTTTTGTATCGTAACGTTGAATTTAGTTTAATAAGCATTGTCGTACGAATCTTATATTTGGGTTTGATTAGCAAGAACTGTGTGCACTGATAATGCACATTGTACGTTTTTTCTTCCTAAAATCCAACACCGGTAATCGCTTTTACTCAATACTGGAGAACGTATTTTGAAAACGTAGTTTAGAAGTAACCATGTCAAAAATGTAGATAGGTAGGACTTTAGGAGGTTTGATAATTGACACAGTTTAATTCGTGGGATTACTTACCTACGATTTTTGCCAAGCATATTCGAATTTAAAGTCGACCCAAATACAAATCTGTCGATCCTAAATTGACGATTCTTGCTTCTAACGTCTTATGCTCTTGATAATGCAAATACTAAAATACTCTAGTGTGAATGTAACCTGACTTTGACATTTGAGAGATCAGTTAAAAAACTGGCAGAAGCGTTTCACAGCCACTAGTCATTTCTTTGAAATATGAAAATAAAGTAACGGTTAAGAAATTTCCGTTCATGAAGGTTCGAAACAGTGCTAAGTTAGGTTCTGTTCTTGGTGGGGATTTCGTTGGTGGCGAGGTGACCAGATACCTATTTTCTGAATGGCCTCAGTACTGGAGCCTTTCCTATCCAGCAGGTAACTATTGATGTATTTTTAAGCACTCATAGCCTAAACAGAAACACAACATTTTGTTGCAGCTTTAACAAGCCGGATATCGGATGCCCGATGTGTATTTTTATCTGTTATTTACGAGAACATTGGTAGTTTGCATCCGAATAAACAAAATTTGGAACATCACAGCTTATGAACCCTTCTATCTCACAGACATGAGTATGCAAAGCCTCGAAAACATTTCAGGCCACAATTATAATTCATCATTTTTGGAATTCTGAAAACGCTCCCAAAAAAGGAAGTTGGTACTAACGGCACACTGGATGCATTCTCTTAATTTTTTCTTTAAATTTACTGTGGCAACAACTGCCGACTATGAAGAGAACGGGAAACTCTTTTCAATCCGGAAAACTAATCAAGCATGGAAGCTACGAGAAACCAAACCATTATCTTTAAAGAAAAATGTGACTTCTCTCATTCTACCCTGAAAGTGTAGAATGCAATATGACAGACTTATTAAAGGCAGGGGAAGAGGAAAGCAAATGTGGACTGGATTCAGCCAGTATGTCACTAGAGCTTATCTGAGTCACAGCTTGAATGGAACGAAAGCGTAAAGTGCATATGTGACTTGGAAATGAATATACGGTTATAAACCGACGTTATTAAGGCGGATGTACTCGCCAGCCTAAAAGGAAACTATCGAAGACTGGTGGTGGGCGACTGAAATCCCTTAAACTAAGATTTATTTTTTTCTTATGACTGCCCTATCTTACCCTGGGTGCCAGAGGCTTTTCATGCGCGGTTTCCGGTTTCGGTCATGTCTTAAAAAAGTGACCCGCGCGAAAAGCGATTTCGCCGCTCGTGTCTCCGGCCTTCGCCCGAAGACGGGTCGGCCTGCGGCCGACGAAGCTCCTCGTCGTACGCGAGAAAAAAACTTCTGGCACCCAGGGTAGCCCTATCTTGGAGTTAATTGTGTATTTTAACAAGCCTGCGTATCAAAATGGGTCACAGTTGAAAGGTTTGGATGCTCTTGAAATACCTCATTTTCGTTTTCGTCCGGGCATCCTTGAAGCGCAAATGCATTGTTAGACTGTGCCGAAGAACCATTCCCCTTGTCTTCATCCTCCGCTTGGAAGCAGTTATTTAAGTTTGGTGCCGTGAGAATGTCCTCCAGAGATGAACCCTCCATTCTCTAAGGAAAAACATCGGTCAAGCTTATTTAGAAATTAATGGTAAAGCAAAGTATGAACCTGAGCGAAAGAGTGGTGCCGGAACAAACACTACGACAACAAACGGTGACGAACAAGTGCCTGATCATTGTAAAACCATAACAATTTACCATAGAAAAAGCCTGCGTGCGACATCTTAACCGTTAGTTTGTTTCAATAAATAAACACAAGCTCCCTGACCGAGTCTTTGTTGTGGAAGGTCAACATGATAAAAATGCCAAATTTGAAGAAGTTAAAGAAATTAAAAAAGCGAGCAATGTTCAGAGCCCTCTTAGATTCGAAATGGTGAACTCAGAATAAGAAAGCCAACGCTATAAATGATATACAATTTGAGATACTACTATAAAGGCTTTATTTACAATCTTCCATATCGTTTCTTTTTGTCTAATTGTTGTTATAAATCACTTCAAAATTGACATTACTAGGAGCCTATTTAATACCGACCCTGACATTACACTTTGGTGCACGCACGTGATGTAATTGCTCAACCAGGAAATATATCAGCATATTGCGGTTTCCTCCGCTTTCCCATTTACCCGCAATGATACGCTGGCTATGCGGTTGATGCCCAAGATCAAGAGAGAGACTAGCACTCCATCGTAGAACTAAAATAATTAGGTACTGACTTTTCCCAGTCATAACAAGATAATGTGAAATAAAAACAGGCCTTTTTAGAAAGCAGAATGGGTGTGTGGACACAAGTACATATCATGCATCGTCATTTCTTTTTAAGCTAAGTGATGTCACAAGTGGTTCACATGATACTCATTACACTGTGCATGATTGCACGAGTGTTGGACTCCCCCACGTAATATTTGGATTTAATCTCTAGTTAGACGATAATCGTAGTGGATTTGGCGGTTTCTTGTTTCCAATTTACTCAGGCGACTGTTCCGGTTGTACGGTCACCCATCAGTCATGATCAACCAACTTAGTATGAGTTTTAAGATTCAGGAGGAACTTGCCTTATATCAGAGAGACACTTTGGTGGTTTTTCTGCTTTAACAAAATCGGCGCTCCCTGAAAGGATCCAAACCACTGATTTCCGTTTCACGGAAAACGTAAGAATAAGTTATAGTTGTCCGCATTTCCGCAAAAGTTGAGAATTGTATAAATTTGGTATTTTTGGTATCAAACTAGCAATCGTTCTCTTGAAACCCTAAGTCATCAGACTCGTCCCAACGAGCACCAACGATCGGAATTACATGCCGGGTTCTTTCATGCATGTCAGTAGTGTCGGCGCGGAGGTTAATTTCAGTTCAAAAACATGACCTTGATTTGTTATAAAAATCAACTGATACTAACTAAATCATAGCTAAGTTAGAAGGGTTGAAGAAGCGTGTTATCTTTTAAAACTTAGCCACAAGATGCTCTTACCCAGGGCCAATTTATCAGTTGTACCACGGCTGTTGAGCAATTTAGGAAAGAAGCTATCATCCCGTAACTGAAGCAGAGCTTGCATATTCGGCTTCTACAGTTCGGCAAAGTCCTATAATCTTTACCTTTCTCAGTGAGTTGACTATACGTGATTTATAACCAGCGTGGTTTGTAACGCATCGTTCAGCTACAAAGACAACGATTTAGTAGTACTTAATCTAAAAAACGACGACTGAGTTATACACGGAAGCTATCCCCCATTAAACTGCATGTATCGCTGAAACCTACACGTTGTAAGGTTGTCTTGTCTTATTTAGCCCGCAATTTTTAGATCATTAGTTTAATGAATCCCGTCTAGATAGCTTGTTCAAAATTATCTCAAGAGCGTTAATCTTAAATTTAAGGCTGACAATGTAGAAAAGTCATTAGCAAAAATAATGCAGTGAAGAAATTAACTGTTGAGTATCGGTATTTATGTCTCGTTTGCGGTATAGAATTAAAAGATGACTCAACTAAAAATTGCAAGCACTTACATCTAACATAAGCAACCATGTACCACCCATGTGCCGTCTTCTTTTAAGATCCGTCTTCATGATTCTACCAAACCGCGTTAATTCTATATCAGCCTTCATTTTCGGTGTTACTCGAATTAAAAATGCTTGGAAGTCTAGAATGACTAATGTTTTGGTCGAGAAAATGCTCTCAAGCGTGCGATATTTGTACCACCCACTCCCTTAAATCTCAACAGAGGCGGACCGCAGTCACGAAAAGCATACGATTGATAGGGCTAATACTACTTGAAATATTGATCTCCATAGGAAATATTGAAAGGTTATTTTTGTGAGAGTAGTAGAAGTGATTGGCAGGGTTCTTCTGACGCCGAGGTGATGTTAAATCACTTACGGAATAATTTTGAAGCTAAAATATTCGCGTCTAATCATCATATTAGGTGCAATTACCGCAAACGCCCAAACCGAGAATACGCCGGCTAATCGATTGGCGGCTTATTTGCTTTGTTCGCGGACCAGGTTTTCCTTTTGATAAAGGATATTAAAATAATTTCAGAGAAAAAGACTTTTCAAAGCGGCTGTGAATAATAACTATTATGTTGGTTTGTTTATTGTAACGGAGCGGTGTTAATGAGTCGGTCTTTCCGCTCTTTTAGTCATTGATAGCGGCGGGAGAATAGATCGCCCTTACTGAAGTAATGTGATGTAGAGCAGCAGCACGGGAAACCTCTACTGACAAGAGAAACTATAAAATGTGGTAATTCCTAAAGTGAGCGCACATTAAGTAACTTGCATCATTATAATGTGTGGAAGTTTGGTTTACCAAATTATATCGCGCGGTCACCTCATATTTAGAGTATAGAGGCCGGAAGTTTCGTTTACCTTCGAAATAAGCCTTTGAAATGATCTCAAAAAGCTAGGGAGAAAATACACAGTGATCGCAAAGGTACTAGGGAAAAATACAAAATGGATCTACTTTGTTTAATTTGTCCACCACATTAGTCCAAGCAGTAGGGAGGGCTGTAGTTATAAGCTAGGTCAGGTTTTTGAGGAAAGTTCTCATTTCGGCCATGAAGAGTAAGAGTTGATCTTTCTCGTGGCAGGTTTGTGAATAACTGCTAGGTATGTTGTCAGTGAGAACTGCCCACAAGTCGACTCTTTCGAGTGATAAAGTCGTGGAAACAAGCGACTAAAGTGCAGTTGTCTACGTACGTTTTGAGTATAGACTCCATTTCTCTCAGGCAAATTGTCTGCTTGCGTTTTAAGTACAGACGGTTTTCCAACATAAATTCAGTGGGACTGGTACGTGCGTCTTGCGCGCTTTGCTTGACTGTGCGCAATGAGAAAAAAGAGACTGCTCGAAGTCTAAGCCACACACCTTGTGTGGTTGTGCGGTACATGTATACACGTGCTTTCCCGCCATTACATGGTGAGCAAGCCAGAGATATGATTACTTTGTGGCTGAGAAAACCGCTGCGCAGCTTCATTTTTTGGACCCTCACTCCTTTTCTAAGGACTCAGTCTAAGGTAGAACAACGAGAGATAAAGCTGTACATTCACTAGCTCGTCCTTTCTTTTTGTTATAAGACTTGAAAAAAACTTTATCCTTTCTTGACAGTAGTTCCTGCAAACTTTTCTTTCCTTTTTCTCCAAAGTGATCCATTTTAAATTTCACTGGCCCTATCTTTCTGGTGAAGACACTAGCGAGGGCCGTCTTGACCTGACTTGTGTGGACAAAACCTTAGTAGCAGGGAGGAGACTGAAAGGAATGCTATATTGCGACAATGCGGGACGAGGATGGCTAATATAAGAGATTTATGAGAGTGATAAGCCTGAAGTCCTTCAAAGTACTCTCGTATACGAAAAATTACAACTAAAAAAGCAAGCCTGTAATTATAAAGCACAGTGACGTCCTTTATCCGGCAATGTTCGTGTTGGCAAAAGGATCAACTTACGATTTAATAGTCACTGTACATACTTCTATTGATTCTGTATTGGCTTTCCACTCTTAACAAACAAGGCTTTGTCTTCTTGGTTTAAAGAGAAAGGCCAAAACTTCAGTAATGCCTTGATCGAAACCCTCCCCTGACTATCAGATATTCAATACCAACCTATGAGCTCTATGAACTTGCTTTGCTTCAGTTAATGTGCATCTCGAAATACTCGTCAGCATTAAAAATTATTCGTAGGAATTTCTTGATAAACAATGCATACTCAGTATACTCGAGAACAGGTCCTATGTCACAGCTGAGTGGTATCTTGTCTGCCCTGTCTGTTCTCACGAATTGCGAATTGCTGTACTGTGTGAAAGGCGACTCACAGGAACGTAAAATTGAATAAAAAACAGACAAACAAATAAGCCCACCCGATTTGTTAGGTGCAGACAATCCTAAACTTCCAATATCTCTCTGCTGGGACAATGCTTCTGAATACTTGTCACGCAACAGTTGGTAATGTGTCACGACCAACTTAAATTTATATGGCGGGAATATGAACCGCTGACCGACTGACGTAGGCAAAAGAGTATACGAAGGTTCGGTGTTGGCCTTGAGTGGATTTATATGAATTCTCGTATTAAAAGAAGTGACTTGAAGAATTATAACAGGAGCATCCAACCGTCAATTTTCGGAAAATATCTGTTCGGAAGACGATTTGAGATCTACAATTATAAGCTGAGACTGTAAAGTCTTGATGATTCTCGCGGTTTGTGGTTTGTACTTTGTATGGGATTTCCGAGACTTTTTTCACGTTTACTAGGTACCAGTGCTTTTTCCATGCGCGACCTAACCCGAAAACAGTTTAAGGGCTAAATAATAATGCATAGGAACGCTTAAAAAAAGCAAAAGTTCGAAGCGGTTTGTGGCTTTTGCTCTCTATGCGATTTTTCTTTTTTGCACGTTTAGTAGATTTTAAGGGTTAAATGCTCAGGAAAGCTTAGGAAGCAATCATACTTTTGATGCTCGAATACTAATAGGTGCTCATTTATGAAAAGCGTAGCTATACTAGTTTAACCACACAAAATTTGAAATGTAATGTGTAAAGTGGTTCTTCGACTTATAATATATGCTCCGAGAATGTTTTTTTTTATTATTATTCTGACTTACAGATGCCCCTGATGAAAATCGTCACAACGACCTGAGGATCTGGACTCAAAAATTGGGGGAAGACGCGTGGCAGATGATATCCTGCCGTTTGAGAGAGATAATACAATGCCTCGAGTCAGGTTAAGCAACTATAATAATACTTGGAGAAATACTCTGATTTCAGTTTTGGTCCGTCACCGCACAGCTAGACTGCAAAACAGTTGGTAAAATCCGTAAAGAAATCGTTAAAGCGTGGCGTAAGAGTCTTGCGCGCTCGAAGCGCCTTAGGGCGTGTGAGACGAGAGGAAAGCGTCTCTCCCCAGTCTCGTTCTCTGTTTTCAGCCTCGGACCTTTTGTTTGATTGCTAGCGCGTAGTTGAATACGCAAAAATACGGACTGTTTTGCAGTCTACCGCACTGCTTGGTAATAAAAAGGAAGGGGATTACGCAATAGACCATTGCCGAGTTTTTTCCAAAAATGGAGGAAGCGCAAAGTGTTATGATGGAAAGAAGTTTTATCGTCATTCAGGTATAACTTACGTTCATTTTAAAGGTTTTGCACCCAACTCCACTGGCTTTAACCCTTTAAGTCCCAATAGTGACCAACCGCAATTTTCTCCTAACGATATCCATACATTGTCATGAGATGAGGTTATGAGAATTAATAAAATAATCACCTAAGAGAAAATACTCTGATCTGTTATCTGTTACTCTTAAAGGAAATGTATAGAGATCAGTTTGGAGAATTTGTATGTGGATATTGGGGCTTACAGGGTTAAAAGCGAGAGTTTGAGGAACTCGGAAATGGCCTACTGCGCAATTGCTTTTGTTAGGCAAATATACTCACAGAAAGAATGTCCATGTAACTCATCGGCACTGTGACGAAGGGAGTCAGCCGACACAAGCTGGCTGTAAAAGATAAGAATAAGTGAAAAATAAAGGTCACTTTCTGTATTCAGTTAGCGGGAAGATCCATCATGCTTGTTTTGGCAGGTTTTTGGGAAAGACTCCAAACGTGAAACCGAAAATGAAAAGGAATATTGGAATAAAAAAATGCTTACTAACACGATAATTTTGTAACTAAACTGAGTTAAACAAGAGGCTCTGAATACTTGACATCGGCGTATGACCGTTGCGGGTTACAGGTGAATTATCCACATTTGTTTTGCAAAAAAGGTGAGAGATGTTCGTGCAAAGTAAGCAATGACAAGCAACCGTAAGATTGCCTCTCAGTGGAGTAGTTATGACAAAGAAATAGCCTCTCTCATTAACATTGTTAGCAGCTTTTCACGTACTATTATTTAGCATACAAGTTAATCCGTGGCATTTGCCTCTGGTGACGCATTATGAGACAATAAAGGTCAAACAGAATCGGAAGTGTAGTTTTACAACTTCAGATTGTCGTCTTTTATAAAAGCTTGTAATCCCAGTGGCTTATAGTTGTTTAATTTCCGTTTTTAGTCCTAACAGTGGAACAGAACTTAGTTTTCCATTTATACGGTACATAAGTTTGTCAACCGGTCAGGACAGTTCATATAAGAAACTATTCTCGTGTAGGGCCTGAAAGAAGCCGATAATTATTTTTCTCACATCCTTAACAGACTAGGAGGAAGTTGGAAATATTAAGTCTTTTTTGAAGGGGATGTGGATTTTTTTATTAATTGCACGTCCCTTCATAAAAGACAATGAAATAGTCGATCACATGGTTGCCCCTTTAACTCCCAAGGTCATTTATGGAGAAATAATGAGTCTTTTAATTTGTGGATAAGACTCCATGGTGTGGCCGGGCCATTTAACTAAACGGCTCTTTCGTCAATAGTTTGCAATACTGTTTAGTTAGGACTAAAATGGTTATAACTTGACCACGAAAAAACCAAATAGGCGAAAAATATCCTTTTAATTTTTTGACTTGGAACAAAGAATGTCACTTTTTAAAGTGAAAAACAGCTCTTCAACAAGGTAATTCACATTCATTTGTGGCGTGAAGGAGTTTCCAGGGCTAAATGAAATGTCAGAGCTCGATGACGTCAATAGAGCACGGTGGAAGTTCTAAAACCCTTTAGTTCAAAATTCAGTCTTCACCTTTTTTTAAAGAGATACATGGGTGTTTCCTAAGGAATTTTAATGAAAGATTGTTAAAAATGTTTGCACTTTTCCCGTTTGAGGTTCAGTCTTTTGTAAACATAGTGTAAGGTTATACCATCAATTGCAAACTCGTCTGTCAGCATTTCGCATTAGTTTGGGTCATACTGCAACACAACGAAAATGAAGTTGCTTTTAAAGGTGGGTAAAAGATTATTTCACTCTGTAGAGCTAGACTTCTCTCATCGTACTAAAACCTAATTCCTTACTCTGCCATTCTGAGCTTGCAGGCGCGCAATTATTAAATCAAACTATTAATACTTGTGTTCAACTAGTGATTGATTTGTCCGGTAATATCTTTCTCACCTCGCGTTCGAAATATCGCAGAAAATTTTAACGGAGCAAACCTCCTACACAGTCCTAGTTACACTAGTTACAGTTAATCCACTTAAGCGAGATTTTTATATCGGCCAGGCTTACTTTTAGTCAAAGACACCAAGTGCAAAGATCTAATCCCAGAGTTTACCATTTAAATTCCCCAAATGAGTCAAAGAGAAACCGTCATCTGATTTGAGGTACGTTGGATAGTACGCTATTTCACATAATCATGTTACTCAAATCAGCCGTTGAAGAATTCAACCATTTTATCGAGCTCTAGGAATGAAGATGTTAGTAATTCCACCTCTCAAGTATGCTCTGTTTGTTGTTTTCCTTACCTTCAAACCGACAGAAGCCAGCCACGTCAGAACTCGAGTCAGCTGCACAGTTCGCAATCATGAGGACAGAATGACTTAGTGATCGATCGGTTGCACGGTTTCATTCCGTTTCTTACAGTGAGCGAAATTCCGTGCTTGATTTTGAGTTAATTAAAATGGTAAAACCAAGTGACCCTTAACAGCCTAAAACATTCACTTGAAGAGCCCCGGATATAAGTTAGTGATAATAAGATCTGTAAAATGTTTGTCTACTTGCAGAGCCAAAGTAGTTCCCTCTGATCTGATTGGACCGTATTATTGTTTGGAGGTATTAAAATGCGTAATTTTGCAGACAAACACCATTAACGCGTATTGACATATTTTAGTCAATCAGGTGATAGTATTTGTCTTTTGCACAAGGTTTTAGAAGGGAACTGAATCAAATAATTAAAATGTTATTTTTGTAGGACCTCGGAAAAAAAGATAAACAATGAATGGCTAATTATTGTCGGCTTCTTTCTCAGCGTTGCGTCAATGGTTTCAACGTAAATTGATGCAGTTCAGACATAATTCAAATGACACTTAATGAGAAAATTTTGGACAGTTCAGCTCATTACAGAAGCTGAGTGATATTTTTCTCATCAGTATGGTTCAGTTTGCGCCTTTGAAAGCCAAGGACGATTGAGGAGAGTAGAGAGGATATGAGTCCATTAATTGAACTCAGATACTACGTTAATCCAAACGTGCCCTGGGGATCTGGTATTTTACGTTTGGGTTGATTTGTGGCGGTATTTGCTGTTTTTAATTCACGCCTTGTTTTGCGGTGGTCAGGGTAACCAAGGTCACTCTCAACGTGGCTAGCCTCCCACGCAGACGTTCTAAGGGTTTCCATGTGTAGGACCGCGACCCCCACGTGACGAAGCCTGAGGAACCTTTGCGTAGGAGGCTCCAAAGAGGGGCATAAGGCATAAGGCTAGAATTGAACGATATGCACCTATTAATCACTTGAGTACGTACTTAAGCGAATTCCAGAGCTCCCTTCCTACTCCGGAATGGGTGCCATTCACCTTTGTACAGCCGGGGTATTAATGACATTAACCAATGTAGTCTAGGAAATATAGCGCGTAAAAATCACAGGGACTATTGTCCAGGTGTGACTCGGCAACCTTGTCCCCCGAGCGCTTGTTTGCTGGTCATGTGACCGGCCGCCGATGCCAGGGCCTTTTCCCGCCCCACCTCCAGAGCCATAGAAAAGCGCCCTGGGGACGAGGTTGGTGACTGGGTTTTAGTGTTCAGTCCTGAGACGACATAATAAAATCCCTTGGTTTAGAATAGTCTTTGCAGTAATTTTGGTCTGGTTTGGTATAAGGCTGTCAGCTTTGCGACTGTATTATTGCCAGAGGAAGAAAGTACTACTCGATTCTTAATGTTCTCTCAGATACAGATGAGATTCACTCGTGTTATGTTGCTATCTTCAACACTGTTCGTGGAAGATACCCTTTCCTCTTTGATTTATTAAAACTATTTCTAATTATGAAAATTCCGTGCCGCAGTGCTTGAAAACGGTGAGAGGTGAGCTGATACTGAAGAAAATTGACTAGCTATTTAAGTCACAGCCAAAAGTTTTTTGAGTTGGAGGCAATAAATAAAATTTCTTTGTAGAGCCTTGGAAAAGTTCTGTATCTCTTAGTGAATATGGCATTCTTTCTCTGCGCGCAACCTCATATCGAGGGCTTTTCCCGTAAAAAAATGGAGAAACCCTGGGGACGAGGCTGTCTCCGCGCGGTCCTGTTTACGGAATTGTGGAGGGATTATGTCACGAGGATATTGCGGTTTTTAGTCAATTCTGTGCTGAAGTCATCACGTATTAGTGCCTTTACCCAAACACAAAGTGATGAAGAAGATATCAAACAAATTTCATTAAGGAGCACTAACCATAATAACGTTTGGTGAAAATTCAGTAGGCATGGCATTAAAAGTTTCAATCCATATCCATCCTTGTTATCTTTAGCAACAGACGTCAGGAAACAGTTTCAGTTATAAACTTACAGTCAAACCAGGTCAAGCGTTCCCGTCGCTAGCAAACTAATGAATTCATCAATGGAAAATGATTTCGTTGGTTGATTCAATAATCCATTCATAAAATGAATAATCCAACAGTGAAATTGGACCTCGATTCAATAATTAAATTTTGATTTGGTTCATGAACAAAATCTACCTGTTCTTTATTCTTGTCTGTTGAGTTCAATTGCATTTGCTTCCCTTTTCCTGCCGTTTACGTTTGCGTTTTTAACTACCTTTAATCAAAAGAACAGCTACAATAGACCGCAAATGCAAAAAAATTGACAAAGGCCGAGGATCGAAATCCACCAATTACCGCACATACATTGACCTCAGTTTGACTATGGTGTTTTCTAGGAGGTCAGGTCCGTTGCAAACAGTTTGTTTGGGTTTGAACTTCAGAACTCGTCCGCACTCGACTCGAAGAAAAAAAAGTGTAGTTTTTCAAAAAACAGTAATCGAATCAACATTCGATTATGGAATCGAGGGTAAATATGAATATTGGATCGTTCATTTTATGAATGGATTATTGAATCAACAAACGATCATTTTTCTGTTAATGAGTTTATTAGTTCGTTAGCAACGGGAACGCTTCACCTGTTTTGACTGTAAGTATTTTAAGTACTCAATTCTTAAGTTGAGATGACGTTTGGAGTGAAAAGGTACAGGGGACTGGGTCGAGTTACGAAATTGCAGCTATTGCGAAGGACCAGCCGAACACAATGTCAAGCGATCTCGAATTAAGCAGCGATTCATTCTAACAAACCAGTACAGATGAAGAGGAATTTGAAAACAAAAAA